TGGCTGGGCTCGGCTTGGTGTTGGGGCAGTGCTGGAGGCCTCTGACTCAGGGCTGTTCTGGGCTGTTAATTTTTTTTAGGAGGGAGGAAACAAGCTCGTAAAACTAGGGGTAAGGCTGGTTTTGGGGTGTTCATCTGCTCAGACTGGGTGAGTTTTCCTTCCCAGGGGCATAAGGCATGGGGGTGACATGGGCAGGCTGACAGGAGATCCCTGCCCTTCTCCCTGCCATGGTCTTCATGACCCCTCAGCCCCCGTGTCCCTGGGTTAGCCCCTGCCACGGGAGCACACTGGGCTCTGCGGATGAGTGGAGAGCCCAGGGGGGGTCTCAGGCTGCAGAGGGGAGAGCACAGAGCCCAGACCACTTGGCAGTGGGGCAGTGCTGGTGGGAGACCTGTCTCGTGTCCCCCTGGGCCTGGGGACAAGGAGGGAGCCGCAGCGCTACGGCCGCAGTGTTTGTTCCCCAGGAAGGTGTGGGCCTGGGCAGCCTTGTGGCTGCAGCCACAGGGACCCAGAGTGTTGGGGGTTGGTTTGGAAGGGACTTGACACCCCTCCCGACTTGGCTGCAGCTTGGGGGAAGGGCACAGTTTCAAGGTGTCACTCTACACCGTCCATGCAGGGCTGGCTCGAGCTTGGGCTTTGGCTGGGGACAGATGCTGTGGCTTCGTGGAGTAAAAATGATTGTAAAGCGAGAAGCAAACAGAGCGGGGACGATGCCCAGCTGTGCTGGTGGGAGCCACCCTGGCGCCACATCCCTTTGTCTTATGCCTCCTGTACCCAGTGAAAGGCTCAAGTCAAGCGGCGCTGCAGGCTGGGTGTGCAGCTTGGTGTCAGTCTCCCACTGGAAGCACTGAAGCTGACTCTGAAATATTTCTGGGAAGTGAAGAAGGGCTGCATCTGACGCTTGCTCACTTGCCAGAACGTGTTTGCAGTGATAAATGGCCTGGCATTTGGGTGGGAGAAGCTTCAGCTCCTTCAGGGAGCAGGTGCAGGTCCCAGACCACTGTGCCTCCCTCGGCTGCATCCTGCAGTTGTGGATTTAACTTTTAACCTCCAGCCTGCACTAGACAGGCACAGCTAGAAGCAAACTGCAGCGTGTCATTACATCTTTTTCTGCTGCCCCTAGCTTGGGCAGCGACCTTCTTGCCTGCTGCACCTCTTGGGGTGGGGAGGGATGTCTTTTCTCTGAGCAAGTATATGTTTTTGGACGGGATCAGTCAGTTCTGGCTCAAAACCCCACATGAGGTCACTCTGCTCCTTCACCTGCACTGGCTAAGAGAGCTTTAAGTCTGTTCGGGCTCAGCCAGCACCGAGTAAGCTGTTCTGCAGCATCTCTTGGGGCAGCTCATCCTGTTTGTGCCTCAGAGGTTTGGTCTGATCTTTGGGCTTGCAAACAGCCCCTCATGAATGCTGGAACACAGGGCGAGGGGAGGCTGGGGGGGGCAACGGCTCCCTTGGAGCCCCTTTCTCAGCCAGGAGTCAGAGCTCGTTGCTCTCCTTTTCCCTGGAGTAACCAGGCATCATCCCAGGCTGATGTGAGTTCAGCTGCCAGAACATGATGCAAGAAATTATTTCAAAACAGCTCCCAAGAACTCAGGCTTTCTCCTGAGGCATGTTGAATATGGCTGTGTGACTTTTGAAATAGTTATCAGCTGGTTTTGTTGGTGACTGAAACATCCTGGTGTGAGGGCTGTGTGGTACCCAGAGAAGGAGGGACAGTTATAAGTGCCCCAAGTGTGTGATGCTTCTCCTCTCCTTTTTCTCTGGCTTCTCAGGCAGAGTGTGGTGGCTTGATGACCCACTTGGTTTGCTTTTTATCTTTCAGGCCTTCAAAGTCTTTGAGCGGATGGCTCGTCAGGATGATGAGAAGAGGCGCCGAGAGCTGGAGGCGAAGCTACGGAAGAAGGAGGAGGAGGAGGAGGCTGCTGCAGCTGCTGAGAGGGTGAAACTGTCCCCTGCAGCTCAGGAGGTTGAGGTAGAGACAACAGCAGAGCCCATCCCAGTGCCAGATGCCGGGGGAGCTGTGGGGACGCAGGATGTGGCTGTAGCCCAGGACATGGCGCCCAGTCCTGTGTCGGTGGAGCCCCCGGGGACCTCTGTCCCAGCAGAGCCCTGGCCAGCAGAACTGCCCACGTAAGGGTCTCTTACTTTCTTCGTGCTCCTGGCAGGGGGGAGGCAAAAACACAGAGGTGGTGTTCCCTGTTCTGCTGTATGGCCCTTTTGGGGAGGGGTGGCCCTCCTCTGTGGGCACTCAGCCCAGTGGGAGGCTGTGAGGATTCCCTTGTGGGCTCTTGTGGCTGGAAATGTCGTGTAATTCCCCAGAGGAGGACAGGGGTTTGTTCTGTAGATGGCTTGGTGTCTCCCTCTTTGCTCTGAGCAGGGAAGCTGGCACATCCCTGGACACAGCCCCGCAGAGCTGGGCTGGGCTGCGCTCCCTGAGCTGCACTCAGCTGTGTCCCTTTTCCAGCACTCACCGTAGCGAAGCTGGGCTGATGGTCCTGTCTGTTGCAGCTTTGGAAAGCCCTGGCACTGTCCTGTAACCCTTTTCTCACAGAAATTCACTGTTGCACTCCCCTGGTGTGCTGTGAGACATGGAGCTTGCACAGATACCCACAGTGCCTGTGAGGCCGTGTGAGGCCAGCTGCAGCATCAGATTTGTGCAGCAAAAAATTACTTTGGAGACCTTCAGAGGTCTCTGGCCCAACCTTTTGCTCAAAGCAGGGCCAGCTTTGAAGATCAGTCAGGTGCTGCAGAGAATTTTCTCTTTAGCTGTGTTCTTTAGCAGGGCTAAGCATCTGTGGTTTCTACAAAAATGTCCTTGTTTCAAGGTCCTTCCAAGGTATCTGTGACTCTTCCAGCTCGACTCTTGTCTGCTGAGCAGTGGGAGGTGAGCTCCAGCGGGCTGGCATGGCCCTGATGAACCACTTACCTGAGCACAGGGTCCTGTGCAGGGTTCGCTTGTCCTTCCCTGGGTGTCACCTTCACCCCTGAGCTGAGGCAAAGCTGCCTAGCCCTCTCTCAGGGCCTCACATGCCATTTTATTTCAAGCTCCCATGTCTTCTCGCTGCCCGAGTCAGTGCTTTGCCTCACTGATGTAGCGATGCCGTGAGCAGGCCGTGGCAGACTGCTGTCTCCTCCTTCCTTCCCCAGCGTCTCTCATGGTCAGAGCCCCATGTGATGGCCATGCTGCCCTCCACCTGCTCGCCGCTGCTTTCCTGGTCATATGTGGGGCTTGGCTGTGGTCTGTCCCCACTGTCCCACTGGTGCTTAGTGAGGAGAACAGCTTAGGGTGGTGACCTGTGTCCCCTAGGGCAGTTTTATACACATCAGAGGGGAGAGCAAGCTGCTGGAGGGACATGGGCTTTGTTGCGAGAGCCCCAAGTCCTGGAAGGACTGGGATGGCAGATGCCCTGGAGGGGCAGAGAGGATTCAGGGTTTGGACTTTGGGGACTGTTGGCCTTTGGCATGTGGAAGGGATGGTCTGAGGACCAAAATCTTGGGGGCAGTGGAATGGTACATGGCAGGACTGTGTCAGAGCCCGAGGCTGCAGCCTCAGCTCAAGGCAGTGGTAGAGGGGAGGGCCTGAGCATGGCAGCTGCTGGTGGAAGGGGAAGGCAAAGTGCCTGCCAAGTTACTTGATCCAGTGGGGAGAAGGACTCATGCTTAACTCAACCATTCTGACACACATCCTGCAGGATAAAAATAAGCCAGAAGCCAAAAATGAAATCACCTGAAAACCCACGTTCTGCCTGTGCTGGAGCTGTCCTGTGAAAGAAAGATTGTCCCCAGGGCTGTCAGTCTGACACCTCTTCCAGCACAAAATTAACAAGCCAAAAAAGCCTTATTAGAGCCGGCAGGTCTTTGTAGCCGGGCTGCATGGCCGTGGTGCTGACCTGGGTGTTTCTAGCCTGGTTTAATCCTAAACAGAAAGGGGAGGGAGAGGCTGGAGCCGCCTGCAAAGCTACAAGCAGGAAGGAGCTGGGGCTGGCCTGAGTGCTGGCTGCTCCTGCCCCCTTGCAGTCCACGTTTGTTGCTTTCTGCCAGCTGAAATTTCGACTTGGGCCTTTTGTTGTGGGGGCAGCAGCTGTTGCGAGTGGTATTTAGTTGCCTGAAAACAGATGTCAAGGCTGCGGGAAGGAAACTGGAGGGATTAGGAAGGAAGCTGAGCGCTGGCGCAGGGGCAGGACGTGTCTGATGGGGACAGCTCCTGCTGCAGGTGGGGGGAGCTGATCTCGTGTGCTTGGCTGGGTGCAGAGCCCAGCCCTTGCATCCTCCACTCTCTGAGCGTTTGTCCTGGCGCAGCTGGAGAGTGGCCCCTGACAGACTTCAGACGCTCAGATGCTGTTTTGCAGCCTGCAGACATGGTATGCAATGCAAAGCCCTGCGTGTCAGCTCTCCCACCAGTCTAGCAGTGAAAAAAAGGTGCCTCCAGCTGGATACACATGCCCCTGCAGCTTCTGCCCTGCCTGGCTGGCCTTTCTCCCTCTTCTTGCCTGCACCCGCTCCTGCTGCCCCAAGCACTGGTGGGGTAAAACCCCTTGGTGCCTGCCCAGTTTGGGTGCGTGCTGGGTGAGCCCAGGCACAGGAGGACCCGTCCAACGAGACTTCACAGCGTTTGCAGCTGCTTTTGAGGCCAGAAGAACAGGATGTCTGTGGGCTCGAAGTAGGGCAGAGCAGCCAACAGGTTTGTCAAACGGCTGTAGTTGATTTCTGTGCCTCTGGGGGGCACTGGAGCCCCCCAAAAGGTAGCAGGGACCAGGAGCAGGCATCCTGAGCACCCCCCCGACAGACTATTAATAATTTAACTGGCTACTTAATTCTGCACAGCCCCTTCTGAGCAAAACCCAGAGCCACCAGCCTGGTTACGAGGGGTGCATGAATAACGCGCAGCTCTGGCAGCAAGAATGCAAAAAAGAGCTTAAACGAAAATATTTTCCATCTCCCTTTCTTTTCCCCCCACCCCCACCCCCTGCTGCCAGTGAAGAAAACCGCTGCCACCAAAATCTATATAAAAACTCGCTCATTCTGTCAGCCTGACTGCTCCATAAATGTAGGGCAGGTACCATCCCAGATCTGCCAGCTCCCATCAGAGCCTCGCCGTGTGCCTGGGTGCTGGGGCGCTGTTCGTGATCATCTTTACGAAGTGCAGCGAGATGCTGGCAGCTTTTTTAGGGTTGATCCGGAAGGGAAGAACAGAATCAAGGCAGTTTGGTGGCTGTGGAGGATTCCCGTCAGGCGAGGAGAGTAGTAGGTAGAGAGTTGCTTGCTCTGCCTGGGGCTCAGCTAGGTCTCCCCAAGTGCCTTGCCCTCCCTGCCTGTGAAAGGCAGGAGGAGCAGTTCCTTGTCACTAGGGAGGCTGCCCTGCACATGCTGAGGGCTGAGGTGTCCTTAGGGTGACCCGTGTGCCAGGAGCTGCCACTGAAGAAGCCAGCTCCTTAGGCTGGCTTGTACCTGCCCTGGGTGTCCTTGCCATCCTTCCCCAGCCATCGTTGCCCATGTGCTCTCCCCACCTCGCTGGAAGGGCAGAGGGGAGCGTGCCCCCCCCCTTGTGCCCCCACCACGGGGCTGTTTGTTCCGGGAGCGCGCAGCCGGGACTGGCGTTGCAGCTGCACAGCTCGCTCAGGCCCCGGCTCCGACTCTTCCCCCATCTGCTCCCAGAAGCCATCCTTGCCTGAGCTCAGCTCCTAATTTTGAACACCTCTGCCGCCCAGCACCCTCCCCTTCCCCCAGCTTGGATTTCATCCTGCATATATTTGCCACACAGCATTTAAAATAGAGCCCGGCAGCCCACGTGTGGCACTGCGCAGCCCGGCCTGGGCGCTTGGCTTGTGCGTTCTGACTCCAGTTCCTGGCTCCCCTCTGCTCCTTTATTTCTCTGAGTATGAACAGGGGGGAGGAACGCTCCCCTCTCCTGTGAGCCCCATCCCAGAGGTTACTCTCTGTGTGAGGGCAAGAGGTGGTGGCAGAAGGTTAGTAGCAACATCTCTGGGAGTGTGTGCAGGATGGTGAATATCCCACCTTCGGATATTTCTCCATCCAGCCCTTGCGTCTCTCCCCGGTGCTCAGGATGGGACAGCTCTGGGCTGTTTGGGGTGCTTTGTTAGAGACCGTCTTGGACCTTCAGGGAATGACCCACTGGAAAGAGCAGCTGGGCATTTGATTGTCAGGCAGGGGAGGTCTCCCAGAGGAGGAGTTTTGTGGGGTGAACAGATGTTGAAGGGTGGCTCAAAAAATGATGGTTTCCCCCCTAGGTGACTCCAGCCTGGCTCCTGCCTCCCCCCAGGCAGCAGGGAGTTGGGGGAGTCCCTGGTTTCTCTGCTCCCCTGTGTATGTAGGGCCACGGCTTGGGTTGGAGCAGGCTGAGGTGCAGCCATGGCACCTGCACGCTGCGGGTTGGGCTGCCCTGCCGTGCACGCACACCCAGGGCTTGAAACGGGACTGGTGGGACACGGGGCACTGGTGAGCACTGGGCGGGCCAAGGGGTCGAGCAGCCCCTCGTCCCTCAGGAAGCTTTGTGGCTTCTGCGAGGGACCTGGCATGGGGACTTGCACTGCTGAGCCAGAGCAGAATGAAACCCTGGGGCCTCTGTGGCCAGACTGTTCACCTCCTTTGGCATGGAGAGGGAAGAAGATGCTGTGGGGGGGACTGTGGTGAGATGGGGACTGTTCACAGCTCCACCACCGTCTTGGTCAGGCTGCAAAGGAGACCCTGCTGGTCCTTTGCCATGTGTGACCTGGGGAAGAGACTCCCCTGCCCTGTGCGTGCGGTGCAGTTGTGCCGAGGGAGGAGGTTTGTCCTCCTTCCACCAGCGTTGCCTGGGCCCTGTCCTGGCACGCGCTGGCCACCGTGTGCAGGTGAGCTCTGCCTGGGGCAAGCCGCCTGCTCGCTGCTCTGCTGTCCCTGTAAGTGGGTGGCAGGGCTCGGCACTGACCTACAAAAATCACTTGTGTACTTTCTGGCTCGCTGTCCCCAGTGAGAGGCAGAACAAAATTGAACTGAAATGTGTTAATCTGGTGAGCTGACTTCTCTGAAGCCCCAGCTCTCTCCTCTCCCAAGAGTGGCCACTTCCATTCTGCGGCCTGGGGTTAACCCTTTGTGGGACATGCTGGGGAGCATCCTCGAGATGACACAGC